CCCGTCCCTCCAGCAGTCTTCGCAGTGGCACAGCCTGCCCGGGGGGGTGTCAGCTCCTGCTCTTCCCCATACCCCAGGCTGACTGCAGGTATGGGCAACTCGGGGCCAGCCCATCCCAGCCCCAGGCTCACCGCAAACTTGGCCAGCACATAGGCTCCTGCCCCAACACCAATCCCGATCACGTACTTGAACCTGGAAAGTGGAGAGATGCATATGGGGGCACAGTGGGCTCCAGCACGGGTTCCCTGGGGCACCCCTTCCCCCACAGCATGGGGCACAAGAAGACATGCAGGGTGCCAGCTTACAAAGACAACTCCCCCATCCCCAAACCCTTGCCTCCTGCCCATCTCCCTGCCCCACACCCTCAGCCAGCAGCCATGGAGGAGAGGCTGACTCACCCAAAATGCTGCACCACACTGGGTAACATGGCAGCCAGCTGGTCCATGGATGGGTACTGGTACCTGTGGCACAGGATAGCGAATATGGGACCCGTGCAGAGCAGGAAGGTGGGGACAGGGAAATGCCACCCCACCCGCAAACCACCCCATCGCCCAGGCAGCGACAACCCGCTGGGCAGGGAGGTGACATCCTGGTGGGCATTGTGAGCCCCTGAAGCTGGCACCTACCCCTGAGGGAACTGCGAGGCTCCTGCCTGCTGACCCGGCGCGTCCACATGGCACACCACAAAGTGCTTCGTGATCTCCTGCATGTCCTCGTAGTTGAAGAAGGTGTTGAAGCAAAGCTTGTCTGTCAAAGGACAGGCAGGGATCAGAGACCAAACACCCTAGCATGGGGGCCTGGTGGGCCAGGGGAGCATGGAGAGAGGTCATCTGCCCTCCCACTGCTCTTCAACCAGGAGGTGACGTGCCACCAATGCCCTCCCATCCCCTTTCCCTCCAGGCTCCTCATCTCCACAGCATAGACCACAGTCCCTGTTAGCAAGGTCTGCATCCCTATGGGTGTTGGGAGGCACGGGGATGGACGGACACAGCCAGGAGGATGAGGAGTTTGGGGTGAGCCTCATCTGTGTGGAGGGATGGGACCCGGAGCTGCAGGACCACCTGGTGGGCAGCAGGATTAGCAGCCCGGGGTATTATCAGCCCTCTCCAAAATCCCCAGAAAGGGCTCAAGCAAACATGGGATTTGAGAAATGTCTGCAAATCTCCCTGCTTGGAAACAGCCAAAGAAACTACCCCAGCACTGCTGTGGACAGGCCACCACCACTGCAGCAGGACACAGCCATCGCCGGGGCTTGGAGGGGTCCTGCCCCATGGCATCAGTGCCAGGACATCCCTCCCAAAATGTGGGGGAGAGGCAGGTTGTCTGGTCCATCGCAACCAACATGACACACCCCTGGACATGAGAGTGCCGCTGTGATGGTGAGGCAGCTCACGTAGCATGCCAGTGACTCAGCCTCAGCTGCCAGTGCAGGGAGGAGATGCTTCTCCCAGCTCACAGGGCACCGAGTATCCCGGCTCAGCTGGGGGGCACGCCCCGGGCAGTGGTCTGGGGTGCGGGCCCAAGGCTGCAGGCTAACAGAGAGCGCAGCATCCCCACATCCAGAGCCCTGGCTTGGGGTCCCTCCTTCCCCGCTATTCCCCGTCTCCTTCGGCCCCCACTATGCCCTGCCGCCAGCCAGGTCCGTGCTCTGAATATCAACAGGCT